CCCCCCTTCACCTCAATGGAGAGAGAGTGGAGAGGGTCTCCACCTTTAAGTTCCTGGGGGTTCACATTTCGGAGAGCCTCAGCTGGACAGCACACACCACTGCAGCAGTTAAGAAGGCCCAGCAGCGACTACACTTCCTGAGGGTGCTTCGGAGGAACCGACTGAACAAGAAGCTGCTGGTGTCCTTCTACCGGGCGACCATCGAGAGCGTGCTGTCATACTCCATCTCAGGGTGGTATCCAGGATGCTCAGTTGCGGACAAGAAAGCCCTGCAGAGACTGATACGGATGGCAGAGAAAACCATCGGCTGCCCGCTGCCCTCTCTGGAATACATCTCCACCTCCCGCTGCCGCAACAGAGCTAACAAAATCATAAAGGACAGCTCTCACCCAGGTCACAGACTGTTCTCTCCTGCCTTCTGGGAGGAGATACAGGAGCTTCAAGTCACGGACAAACAGACTCAAAAACAGTTTCTACCCCTGGGCCGTCAGGCTGCTCAACCACCACACATAATGCAATAACCGTAACCATTCTCACACATACACACACTTTTAATGCACTTTATATACTATTTTTATATCAATATTTTTAACTATTTATTCCCCCGTATGATTGTATGTTGTCTGTCCTATTGCAGTGTTTTTAGTGTTATGTATTTGTTTGTATTTTTTGCACACCGGGACAGAGTTGCACTCTGAATCTCGTTATACTCTATGTATAATGACAATAAAAGGCTTTAACTTGAACTTTTTATAAGCAGAGTAGCGTTATAAAGATCAACTGTTTATATAAAATTATTCATTTGAGCGAGATCACTCTGCGTGGGTCCTGTTTGTGTGACCCTTGTGACAAGTCAACCAGAAGACCTGCATTCTTAAACTCAGCATGAATGGCAGTGCATCGGGGTAAATGATGCTGTGCCCTCCAAAAGGCCGGCGTGATAATCCAAGATTAGTGTGTTTGTGTGTGTGCACAGAGAAAATGAGAGTGCACATGCGGGCTATTTGTCCCTGTGAATATGGGTATAAAGAGAGTTTGCTTGTGTGTATTCACAGTGTGTATCAGCATTCCGCAAATCTTCAAAAAAATGTTATTTGAGAACAAACTCGTGTTTTTATAATTGACTCATTGCTTACTTGATTTATTGTCTGTATTGACTTGTAGGACATGACTTTATGAAGTGATTGTGTCTGCCTTTGTAGGTGCCTTTGTCTTTAAATGCGTCATACTTGAAGTTGTTATTTTGAAACGAGGCTCAGTAAATAACACCAACAGCTCTTGGTTTTTTGTATTTCTCTCTCTCATATTTTTGCATACATTTCTAAATATATTTTTTCTCTCTTTCTTAGCAGCAGGGTTAATTTCTTATGCAAACATCCTCTGTAAACAGAAACTGTCCTGAGTCAGAGAGACTGTGTGTATATTCAACAGGGTATCCGAGCGTGTCCAAGATATGGAAATATCTAATGCGCTGTAACCAATCTTAAAGTGGACCTATCATGCTATATTTGAATAATATATTGTAGGGCCATACCTATATAAAACATGCCTGCAAAGTTTTTTTTTCAAAATACCAAACAGATCTTGCATTTTAGCCATGCCTCATTTCGCTCTTTTTCTGATTCTGAGAGAAGTCTTCTTCGCTGCTTTTGTGGCAGACTACAGCGCCACCTACAGGCCTGGCATATGTACTACAGCGTCTCCAGCGCTTTCGAACGGCAATGGCCATGGCTGTCTCCTCCTGATTGGTGGAGAGTTGCCCATATAGGCGGAGCACCCCCTTTCTGACGTCAGAACAATTCAAATCTGTATCAGATCCGTTGCAGCCCCGTTTTTAGAGATTTGGGTATGGAGGAAAAGAGAGAGGGTTGTGTTCTCTGACACTTGGTGAGTTCCCTGACACACTGGGGACACATATTCATGTTTAAAAGACGTACAAAAGTGCATTTTGCATGATAGGTCCCCTTTAAAGTAAAAGACTGTTTGGTTGATATTTGGTTTCTTATTTCTTGTCAGAAAATGCTATACCAGGATTGTATTTTATTCAATAGTACTTGGATGCCTGCTCTGATTTCAAAACAGCCATTTTGATAATGTTGCTCTTTCTTTACCATCAGGCATCCCTTTTTATTTGATATCTTATACATCATTGATGGTATAATTAATTGTACTATGAAAGTACTTTAAAGTCTTTGAAACCAGGGTTCTGCTTCAAGGGATAAATAGTTGTTTCAACAACTCTTTTCATTTGAAGAACCCTTGGTGGTATATTATAAGATTAAAGAACACAGCTATGAGAAAGAAAAAAGGCCAATCCTTGTTGTTTTATTAAAAGCCTCTAAGGACTTGTCAGATATCATATTAATCTTTGCGTCCTCTTCCTTTCAGGTGGGAGGGATGAGCAGGAGGGTCTGGCGGCCGTCAGAAGGATCTGTGAAGAGTACAAAGAGGCCAAAGGTAACATTACAAACACATGCACAAACACACACGTGAACATGCAGTTGTGTACCTCCTTTTGTGTGCCAGTGTTTGAGGATAAAGGGCAAAGCTGCAGCGGTGTGTCCCTCAGGCTTGTTTGCATAGTTCTTACTAGGCACACACACATAATTGCACACTTGCAGGTATACACACTCGTACACAGAAACACAGATCTCCCTCGCTGGCTGTCCAATGTAAGCAGTGTTGTTGATGCACCGTGAGGAAGAGGTGGATGGGGGGGAGAAAGGCTATGAGACAACGACAAGGGGAGATAAGTCAGGCGAAATGTGAGAGAGGAGGGGGAGAGGCGGACCTTGAAGGAGGCAAAGGGGTGGAGGGGAACATGACAGATGGGCAAATAGAGGAAAATAAGACGGGGCGGGGAGAAAGATGAGGCGGGGTGAAAATGGAGGTGCATGGGAGTCAACGGTGATGAGAGGAGACAAACGATAGCATCAAAGAGATTTATTAATCGATTGGCTAACACTTATAGTCTTCTCTATAACTCCACGTTGAGAAATTGTTCGGTCTGACCTTCACAGCACCATAAATTCCACCATAGCCTCATGGCTTATGAGACACATAAGTTATTCTTCACTTTACCAACAGCCTTGAGTCTTTATCACCTTCCAAGGCTTGTCAGTAGGCAGAGGTGTCAAGTGTTCACACATTCATTACTCAAGAAGAAGAAGTGCAGATACAGAGTCTTGTAAAAGTGGGAGTACTGCTTCAACTTCTTTTATCGAGTACAGGCTCTGAAATGTACTCCGAATGTCAAAGTAAAACTTTTTTTTCTCCCATCCATTGAAGTTCAAATCTGAAATGATGTTGGGAGGCCATGTCATGCAAAATATATATATTAAAAAAGTAACAAGCCTTTTTTTTATCGAAACATTATTACAGAAATGTATTTAAAAAGAATATGAGATCAAAGTAAAAAGATGAAGATGAGGAAACAAATACTCAAGTATTTTGGAAATTGAGTTCAAAAGTACAATAATGATATATATAAGTAAGTATTTGTAGTTTTTTTTGTAAGGGTTTACTCAGGGGATGTTCAAAGATTTGTAATAATAGAACATTATTTATGTATATGAATTTTGCTATGCTTTAACATACTTTTATATATCTCCTTTTTTGAAGAGTATACCAATGTTGTCAGACATATTTGTAGGAATGGTGTCTTGAGATTTAGTTCTATAATGGACCTCTTACACAGAGCTAGGAGAGCAGCACACTGCTTTACACAATTGTGTTCTCATGTATTTGTAAACAAGTTCTTTGTTTCATTGACACACATTGTGCTTTGCCGATTCAGAAATCCTAAACAAGTGAAATCCAGACCTCATTATAACAACAGCATTTCATAAGATAAAGATAATCTCATCACATTTTAAGCTTAAATGTAACACTGAAGATTGTCCTCTTATCTATTTAATACTGTATACTGTTTAATTGAAACCATATCTGTGATGTTAAACTGCACTGAGTAAAACACTGATCATCAGATAATAGCAAACCTGTGGTAACTGTGTTTGTCAGCTCTTCATAAGTGCTCCCCGGTGGAGCTGGTTACAGGTCATTGTGAATCCTTCACTTGGAAACAAGCGGTGTTTCTGCTGCTTGGCCTTCAGTGGAGAGCCGCAGAGAGCTGGCTGGTCGCTGTGTGTGTAAGTGTGTCAGGTACTGATACAGCGGCCATGTAGCTGGTGTCATTGAAGTCTATCTCCCTGGACGAGGCCGTGGTTGAATTGATTACTTCTTTTGTAATTGGCAGGCACTGAGGCATAGAGGACAGGGGAGGTTCTGTAGCCAGATGCTTGTGCACTGAATGTGTTGATGTGTGTGTTTGTGTGTTTGAATGAGACTGTAATGGATTCTCATTAGTATGTCAGGCAGGCGCTTTAAACATCTCCGTCCTGACGCCCTTTGGCATCCTTCCTATTCTTTGCTCATTTGTCTGTTAGGAGAAACAGTAGACAGCTCCTGATAAATATGTCGCCTGCAGAGGTGGGTTTAAACTGGAGACCTGGGGAAAACTGTAGAGGTCCTTTTAAAGGACATCTGGGTGTCACCAATGACAACAAAATGTATTTCACGAGGAAGCTTCTTGATATACTTTATAGAATATAAAAGATAGCATTAATTGGAGTGACTTTGAACACTAATAAAGGAATGTTTTTATGCCTTTAAGTTGTTTCAATGAGCTTTTATTATACCAAGAATATAACTCTGTATATATAATAATATAAACAGGTCTTTATGAACTTGTAATAACATTTATTTCAAAGTGTATAAGCATAAGTGTAAGAATAATTGAAATTGCAGCAAAGATCCGAGGGGTTTAGCGTCATCTACTTTTTTTTCATTCTCAATTTAAATGTGCAGTGTTTCCCCTACCATTGTCTTGGCGGGGCGCTGCGCCCTGCCAACGGCGCCGCGCCCTGACTGAAATTCAAGGTTTTTTTTTTATTATTATTTTAAAAAAATATATATATATAGCACCAAATTGCAACTGAAGTAATCTATCTACGATCAAGTTTCACATTGAAAATGTGCTCTTTTATTAAATAAACTAAACGCCTATGCATGTTTCAGTGTCCACTGCCTTGCGTATTCACATTCTCCCTCGGCTCTGTTTCTGAATGGGGCGGGGCTCCGCTCCCCCCCCCCACACACACACACACACGCGAATGCACACACTCACAATCAGAGACAAGAGCGGAGGAAAGGAGGAGAACAACAGCTCTGCTGTCTGCCCGTTTGTGTGTCCCCCCAGTTTCAAATTCGTTTATTATTATTTTTTAACCGCAAGCCGCTATCGTCACGGGAGAAGGACACACACAGCCTGCCCAGGTGGACGCGCGCGAACGCGACAACGAACGTAGCGTGCAAATGCTCACAGATGGTGAGCAGGTACCGCGGTTTTGAACTACAGTATTGAATTTGACAGAAAACAACAATGAAACGCCAGCAGAAGAATAGTCTAATGAATTGGGTGAAAAAAAAGACAGGAGATGTGAGTTGGTTTATTCAGTAAATTAGCTCAGGATAATTGGATGTTCTGTCTACACCTGTTGATGTGAGGCTAATGCAGGATTTGCTAGCTTGATGCTACCGGCATTTAGCGGCAGTGACTCAACAAATTGCCACTTAAAATGTATCGTCAGCAATGTATGACAAGCAGACTGCTTGTTTAATGTTAGACTCACACACCAATAGCTCAATATGATCATAACACGATTGCTTTCATATCAGAGATCAGATGAGGTGGAGCTGCCTCCAGCAATAGAGGATGAGGCAGAGAGAAGCAGCAGCAGCACAGGGTTGCAGCAGGTATGTTATATGATGTAGTCAGGTGATTTAAATGTATCAATGAAAGGAAGAAGTGTAGGCTACATGATAAGAAGGGAATACAGTTTGAATAAAAGCAATACACTTTT